GGTATTAGTGTAATAACAGCAAAAGGATTATGCTGGGAGGAGCCATATGGGTGACGGAGGTGACGTCGTCTGCACGATTTGTCTAGCTATTTAGAGGGTGGCCACTATGCTCTTTGGGCACACTATTAGCTTAGGTGTACAGTTACGGTGCATAAAACATGTAGATATTTATATATAATATGTGTATATTGGGTAATAACACTGCAAAAGGTATTGTTGGGGGAGAAAGTTTAGTGCGTGTGACCTTGAAAGAGTGAGGGAGCCGCCAGCCGCCATCTGTGCATAGCGACGACTCTTAGTGCCTGAACTAACTATATCAGCTTAGCTGTACAATTGTGGTGAACAAAATATATACATACTTATATATAACGTCTGTATATAGTGTAATAACACCACAAATGGTATTGTTGGGGGAGAAAGGTTAGTACGTGTGTTGAGGGAGTGGCAGCGAGTGGCTGGCTGGTGTGTGGCGGTAACTCTTCATTGCTTTTCGACTCTCAATACCAACTTAGTGGTTCGTTATGGTGACCAAAACATGCAAATACTTATATATAACCTGTGTATAGAGTGTAATAGCAGCAAAACTATTTGTTTATTGTCTTATAAACATAATAATTGAATCACTAATATGCACATCATACTTTTGAGTATAGCAATTATTCACCACTTTTATTATATAAATATATTACAATACACACTATTGAATAATATTACTGCAAAAAAACTAAGAAAAAATCAATCGGAGACATTGAAACAATTGGGTAATAATATCTTTGTGGCAACTCCCATCTGTCAGCGCGGGTGACGCTGACCGGGTCTGACGACCGCTCTGTCAACGCCCACTTTTTGCCAGACTTCCTCAGTCAATTGCACCCAAAATATGTCACCTATGATTTTTTTTTATTTTTTCCGTGCTCAGGGGACACGCTCATTTCTTTGTTGTCATCGGTGAAAGTTCCATCTCCCTTTCGCAGGGGCCCGATACTAGATGTGGTTTTTGATCTTGATTTTGCATAGGAGAAAAAATATTTCGGATTTCTCTCTATTTCACTGATGGCCTTTTGCTCTCTTTGCCTCTCCTGGGTTTTGTATGATTCTTGTACCTTGAGTTTCTATTTTCTATTGTTTCTATTTCTCTACCTAACCTTATTCGCCGTTCTTGAGATAGGGTGCGACTCTCAAGTTGTTCCGCAATTTGTTTTCTTCGCCTATATAGGGAACGACGTTCCCGGTCCAATCTGCATCTCTCTCTCTTTTTTCTTAGGGGTATGCGGTTTGAACATATTTCTAGTACTACTGAGCTTATTTTTTTCAAGCACTGGTTCAGGTTTGCATTTTCTAGCTGTTCTTCCCAGTTTATTTCTGTGAAGTCCTGGTTTATTTGCTCCCAGTTTATCTGTTTATTATTGAAGTTAAATTTCCTGAAATCTCCTCCACCGAGAATCTGGACTGGTTTTGAAGGTCCATTCCCCATGGTTGTCAGAACTTCAATTAAGTTGTGATCTGAGTAACAGGTATTTGTAATCATTATGTTCCCGATCAATTCATCATTATTAGTGAAAATGAGGTCCAGCGTGTTCTTCCTAGTTGGTTCTACTATTTGCTGGTTTAAGGCAAACCTATCGCACATCCGTAGCAGGTCATTTGCATGTGCCTGTTCATTTAGGCTACTTCCTGGTATTCTTTCTGATATTACTGTATTGTTCTTCCCGATTCCCCATGCTTACAGGTAGCCCATTTGTAATACCAACAGATTTTGGGGCCTTGTTTTGTTTGTTTCCCTTTGCCAGGGACCGCACTCTGCTGAGGCGTCCCCGACACTGTGCTCTGCTCAGGGGTCCCCGACTCCGCTCTCTGCTCCGGCGCCCTTGACACCGCACTCCGCTCAGGGGTCCCCGACTCTGCACCCTGTTCAGGCGTCTCCAACTCCGCGCCCTGCTCAGGCGTCCCCGACTCCGCGCCCTGCTCAGGTGTCCCCGACTCCGCGCCCTGCTCAGGTGTCCCCGACTCCGCGCCCTGCTCAAGCATCCCCGACTCCGCGCTCTGCTCAGGCATCCCCGACTCCGCGCCCTGCTCAGGCGCCGCTGCCACCGAGCTCTGTGCCACATCTGGTTGTACCTTGGTGTCATGTACAGTTTGTTTGAAGACATTAGAAATGTCTTATTGCTATATACTGCTTATTGCCTGCTATGCAGGCATTAATTAGTAATTCTCTGTTTTCGGCGGGAGTTTTATCCAAGATTTCCATCATCTTCAAAAAAGTTACATCATCCTTTTTGCAGAGCCAGTACACAGAGTGGTCACTGGGACCATTTCTCCTTGAATTATTAGTCATGTTGACACATTTTTTGTGTATGGCTGCTGAACAGAGTTGGCATTGAAAGCTCTGTTGGTAATCTACCTTCATGTTGCATTCTATGCATGTTAATACGCTCGTTATATCGTCCTCATAGGTGCTGTATAACTTGCATCCGACCTTTGAGTTAGGTCCTTATTGTGCCTAGCTTCCCCAATATTATGACCCTTATGTTCTTCAAACAATAAGGCTTGAATTTCACGGACAGAGCATTATCTTTCAACACCGCGTCGGACAGGTGTTTGGGAGCCAGAGGTGCGTGCGCCACCCATGGTTGCTCATTCAGTACTAACGCAGCCAGCAGCCCTTGGGCATTCTGGGATTTTTTTTCCAAGATGGCTGCCTTTCACTGGACGTCCTAAGAGTTCATTTCGTACACAACCAACCTCGTACACATTTAGAATTGGTTACGAAAAATCAAAAAGAGTTTTCTCGGTTGGCGCAGTTTCCCGCCGACTGAGAAAACTTGGTTGGCGCAGTTAAGTGGTTAACCACCGTGCTGCTCCGAGTTTATTGTGAAATTTCCCCGGTGCGCATGAAATAAAGTGTTCCTCAAAAAATTCATTTTTCTTCGTAAAATGATAAATTCCCTTCCCTGAACATGTCTATGTAAAGATAAATACCAAATTCCACTTACTTTGGCTGTGGGGACATGGACAAGGTGCGCTGTGATGTCATCAGGGCCTGGTCGCCCGTGTGTGAATCACCCAGACACGGTCGTGCGGACCATTCTGTAACACCGTTAAGGTGTTTTGTTTAGTTTTATTTAATATTTATTTAGTCCTTGAGTCAAGCCAGACAAGGATTTGAAAGGCGCCAGTCTGATCAGGTGTTGCCACAAATATATTTTCAATTATTTGTTTTATGTATTTCCAATGCGTTTGTTTTTTATCGTATATGATGCATATTTGTGTCCTTTACAATATGTATACACTAGAACGTTCATAATGTTCCCTGGAACTGTGATACGTGTCAGTAATGTGTCCACAATAAATGTTTATTGTTGCAATATTGCCTGTTAAAAATTCACTAAAATTACAATATGTACAGTTTCACACACTATTTACACAGTAACACACTGTATTACACACTCAGTACTTCGGAAGTGAGTAATAGTTAACGAAGTAGCCCATGGTAAACAGCGCGACTTCGCTCTCAGTGCACCAGGTACAGATAAATTTTTGCTTCCTGTTTCTTCATTCTGTGAAGAAACGTACACCCTTGGCTTTAGTACTTGTAGGTTGTATGTAACCAAGTTTGTAAATCATAAGGTAGTATTGAAAAGATTATAGGAAAAGATCAATTTGTAAGGCAGTCTTGAAAAGATCCCTTTGTATGGTCCCACACAGGAAGAGATTCAGCTTACCTCAAGAATGTCCGTCAGTCAGAAAGAGATTCAGCTAGCCTCAAAGAGTGTCCGTCAGTTAGAAAGAGATTCAGGTATTCTTGAAAATATCTATGGAAAACACCACCATGGAAGCCGCTAACACTGTTCATCTATGCGATTTGTATGAACGCAGAAAATGATTCATCTATGTATCATCTAAATAAATTGTAGATAGCATAGGATTGTAAGGGTGATGCTCAGAGCTACAACTGGATACGCTCGCTGTATCATCCTCATAGGTGCTGTATCAATTGCATCCGACCTTTGTGTTGGGTCCTTATTGCGCCTAGTTTCACCAATATTATGACCCTTATCTTCAAACAATAAGGTTTGAATTTCACCGACAGAGCGTTATTTTTCAACACCGCGTCGGACAGGTGTTTGGGAGCCAGAGGCGTGTGCGCCATCCATGGTTGCTCATTCAGTACTAACGCAGCCAGCAGCCCTAGGGCATTCTGGGAATTTCTTCCAAGATGGCTGCCTCTCACTGAAGGTCCTATGAGTTCATTTCGTACACAACCAACCTCGTACACATTTAGAACTAGTACCGAATACCAAAAAATCAAAGAGAGTTTTCTCGGTTGGCACAGTTTCCCGCCGACCGAGAATACTTGGTTGGCGCAGTTAAGTGGTTAAACAAGAACTCGCGCAGTTTTTTGACCAATTAGTTTGGATCAATATCATCGACATATCTTCGGGGAGCATTGGGTCTCGACCAGAAAAGAGGTACAGTACTGTATTTCATTACATTCAATGCTCGAGTCTTTTGTAAAGCAATCGTTTCACTATGTTAAATCTGATTTCCTTGTGATATCTGTTTCCTAAATCAAATTCCTATTTCAATGGTATTTATTAATTTCTCCCTGTTGGCCAGCACTAATTTAAAATTTAAATTTTCTGTATTGATCACTGTTTATTTTAGAGAGGAATCTATTCAAAAAATCTTCCTGGGACTTGCAAGGCTATTCATTAGGTATTCGTATGTGAGGGACCCCTATATTTATAACTATTTTTACCATATATTTTGTTTAACAATGAAACATTATCAAAACATTTTCTTTAATATCATGTAATAATAATTACAATATCATGTACAATATCATAAAAAAATAATTAATATCATGCAATAATTGTGCAAGTTTTGCACGAATGCCTTTCTCACATACAGCAAGTGCTTACTCTCCCTATTCAAGTGAAACACATTATTTCACAATATAAAATGGTACATATTTTACACAAGATCATTTTATCAAACAGGGTGCAATAAATGACCAAGGCCTGGGCATGGTGTCATGGTGGACAAATAGCGGCGCAGGCCAGGAGGAGGAAGGTGAGGAAGAGGAGGAAGAGCTGGTTGAGTCGGTATGACCTAGGTTGCACCACACGTCAACCTTCGTGTATTTAGAAGCTGAGCCTTATGCATACATTGTAAGTTGAATTTTATGCTGTTTTTGTCTTATTATTTAAGGATTTTATATTTTTTCTTCACATCTTAAAGATATAAGATATGGTTCAAGCCGGACCAGTCGGGCTGTGTTGCAAATGTGTGGACCTGCGGGCTGCTCTAAGCAACAGTCTGTTGAAAGAAAGCTCTCACAAGTCAATCCTGGCCCCGGGCTGGACTTGGGGAGTAGAACAACTTCCAAAACCTCATCCAGGTACAATCTACTGTAACCCAGGTACTCTGGGTTCCAGTGAGGCAAGCATTTTCTTCAGCTGCCTTTACTTTAGCTATGTTTCAAGGTCATCATTCCTGAGGTATTTATGTTCTTCCTTTAGGAAGGCAATTGAATGAGAGTTGATGTAATGTATAGTATATGTATGCTTGTGCATACTGGAAACTAGTATCATTCTGTGTCTGTGTGACAGACATCAGTTGTTTAGTCTTGCACCTGGTGGTTCATTCTATTATATCGTCTTGGGGTAATCTTAGCAGTTATTTCCAGTGCATCTGGCATTTACACTCCTGCTGAGATTCATTTGACTGCTGGCTCTCAACATGTAGACATGAAAACTGGGTCATTTATCAGTTAGTTTCTCTGCTTCTTTCTCAATTCTTTGGTCCACATTGTTCAAGCAACTTTGTCCAAATTTGTTTGCAACTTCTAAACATAAAATAAAATACACAGAGTTGACCAATTTCCTTCAAATAAAGCTAAAACTTTAGTTAATATTATAGGCTGTCTAGTGGCAATAAAAAAAAAATGTATTTTCATGTCTAAAAAAAATTATTTCTAGAATCAAAAATATGTTAAACTTTAACATTTTGGCCAGGCAGGCGGACCATCCACATCGCACTGCATGGTAGGCTGGTCGTTGTCGAGGAGCACACAACCCAATGTTAAACTCTTTCACTCACAATGTTTACACTTAATAAGAATAAGCATAAATTAATTGACGGTGACGTTAACATCATGCCCCGAACTGCGTGTATTGTTTTGATGACTGCACGAACGTCATCACGACACCAAAGTGTTAATTCAAAAGGTTAATTCTCCATATTTCAGCTTTTTCAGTGATGTACTGGCCTCCCAATAGAAAATATGGGCGTTAAACATAGTTGGCATAAACACGCTTCTCACACATGTCATAGTAACTTTATTGTGAGAGAAGTCAAATGATGCTTCTGATTCATTTACATAATAGCTTAACCAACATACATGATTCTTTAGCAATAATTTTGAGTGTCCTTTCTTGCTCTTTGACAGTTGAATTGGACTGGACCTGCAGCTGAAATGTTTGAGAAGATTCTGCTTGTTGCCAAATACTGTAGGTGAATGTGGGGAAAGAGCTTGTCTTGTGCTGACAGTAGGAAAGTTATCTTTAATTACATTGGCTAGCTTTGTCTGTCACTTACAAAAATCATTTTAAACATTTTTGGGAACTGCATGGCAGTAATATAAGGTTGTGGTATGAGAATTTATATTAGCTCTGATTATTTAATTATTATAAGCTGTGACTTTATATTTTAATTTTGTTTATGTAATTTATACACTGCAGCCCCTAATCAGCTTAATTTACACACCAGCTCATTCTTGGTGAACAAATTTGAAACTTAACCAAGGATAACCAAAAGTTACCTTGAGATTATATTTATAATAAATTTAGAGAAGAAGAATAAAGGGCAGAAATGTTATTGCATTTAACACGGTGGTACAACTAAATGGTATTGTATAAGGTAATGCAAATAATGAACATTCATCTCTATACTTATAACAGGGCTTATTTAGACATAATGGATAGTAATTTTATATGCCTTTAAATTTTCCTGAAAAATGTACTACTGTACTGTATATAGTAGGGTAAAGCAAAAAATTTGTTTATCATGAACTGGAAAAAAGTGTAATTCTTGATCCTTGACTTGATGCCAAAAGTAAGAAACAATTCATCTTGGCTGATTGCTACTATTTTTGGGCTGGCGGCCACTCTGAATGCATCCATAAAGGGGTCAAAATGTCCAGGATGGCCATAACTGGCCAAATTGGTGGTGCTGAAAACAATACTTGTAGCTCAAAATTTGCAGAATCCTTTTTTTTTTATCTTAACAGGAACTTTTTATCTTTGTGCGAGAATTAAGTTACGTATAAAATATAATTTTGGGGGGCACAGGTGGTTGTAAAAATGGTGAAAATCACCTGTCGGTGGACGATTTATCAATTATCACCCATCATAGCTTTATTCACCAACTATTTAATGAGTAACATTTCCTCCCTGCCCTATTGACATTTTGTGGAGTAGTTAAATTGTAAGATGTGGTAGTTATGCGTGGTATTAGTTTTTTTATTTAAGCAGAACCATTCTCAGGAGGCCTCTTGGTCTCATGTGTGATGTTATTTCCATGTGCTGATTTGGAACCAGTCCCTCTAATATTTTCCAGCAGTAAATTATGTCTCTCTCTTGCCTGAACTTTAGAGAAAACAGATTTAAACATTTTAACCAATCCCAATAATTTAATGCTTTATTGAGTGGATTCTAGCAGTAAAGATCCTTTAATCCTATAGTCCACTCTATAAAACATCTAAATTGTTGTGTTCAATTAAAATTTGTATCTAGAGCCAAGGCCAGAGAGAGACATAATAATTTACACCTGGAAAATATTAAGAGGGATGGGTTCAAAATCTTCACACAGAAATAGCATCACACTAGACTAGGAGGCAAGAGAGGATGTGCAAAATAGCCCCATTGAAAAGGAAAGATGCAATAGATACACACAGAGTATACTCTTATAGAATATACTCTCAGAGTATACTAGATACTCTCATCATCAAAGGCCCAAGACTTCAACACTCCCTCTACACACATGGGGTTAATTGGCTGGCCTGTCACTATGTTCAAGAGAAAACTTGATAAATGCCTCTAACAGATGGCTGATTAACCAGGCTGTGATTCATACGTCAGACTTCAAGGGGTTTGTTCGCCTACCATTCTGGGTGATACACCCAGTCGATGGCAGACATGAAAATATTCTCACAAAGTGGAGTGTTCTTTAGCCATTGCTTCCTACGCCTCTCTGAGGACCCCCAGGTTCTGGCTCATGGTTTCCTGTAGGTACAAGAACTTATAGACTGAGGACAAATATTAGTCAGTCAGCTTCAGGGAGCGAGCCTCCAGGGCTCAACCCAGAAAATGGAGTTTCATTATATTCAATGCTGGTTTTATTAACTTTTCTTGGTTTTGACTTTAGGCCTTGTATGTTTGCAAATATGAATGATTTTCCATATTGTGTCAATTCTGGTGGGGGTTTGATCCCTCCCCCCCTCCACCCTGACCCAAGGAGTGCTGTTTTGGCAATGGTTCGTCCAGTTTTGGTAGTGTTACTAGGGAGTGTGGTAGTTTCTGTGTAGTTGGGGGTGTAGTATGTGTGCACCTGATTACGAATTGTAGTCCAGTCTTGGGTATTTCCTCATTCCCATCCATACTCCTGCAACGTTTCTGTCTGCCAGTCTGTTCCTCTCTCTGTTTCTGGCTGCCTCTAAAAAACTTCCAGGGTCATTATATCAGACCTCCTCTCTTCTATAACACTGTGTGTACCTCTTACGTGGAAATCAGGGTATTGAAGATCATAGCATTTTCTCTCATTAATTGAGAGTTTGCATAGTTTAGGGTGAAAATATCTGCACTTTGTTCCAAGACGACATTTACCCCTCCCTAATATTCCGCATTTTCAAGGATGCATATATGTGCATTCCGTGCCTTTGGTCCCATATCTGCACTTTCCTTTTGCATAATATTAGCAAATATTTTCATCTGTAATTTTATTCTGGTTGTTTATACCTGTGCATGGTGGTCTGATTTGGGGTAGTCTGTGTTTTTTGTCCTAACTTTTTCAGTTCTGCATTCTTTCTCAGTATTGCTCTCATCTTTCTCATTTTTGCTTTCATCTTTCTCATTTTTGCTCTCATTATTCATATTACTGGTTGGGTCTTCAATATTGCCGGCAAGTGTCCTTCCTTTCTCATTGCTAATTTGGCTCTCCAAACTATCGGTTCCTGGGTTGTGTTCCGTGTCTGTTGCTGTTTTTAAGCAATCTTCATATATTTCTATTAGCTTTTGTGTGAATGGTAGCCTATGTGCTTCAGGAATGTCACTCATTAGTTTGGTGATGTTTTCCCATATCAGTCTTATCATTGTGACAGATCCAGTAGGTACCTTGTCTGTTTGCATATTGTGTAGGTAATTCTGTATAACTTGGGTGAAATCTTGTGTTACAAATGTTACATACAATCCCTACACTCTTCTGAAGTGGTTTAAATAAAGCAGCTGCCACACGCCTCTATGTTGGGTTTGTGGAAGTAGTCTGGTTTGATTTGTTAGGAAATAGTTAAAGGGTGTAAAATGTATTTCTCAAACTTCCTCAAATGCCTTCAAATTTTTTTTTTGTTTCATAATCTACATGGTAAATGTGCCAACTTTTCCTGATGGATCACCCACGTAAGGAAAAAAAAAAATCCCCATAATTTAGACCTGCCGCACTCCACAAGGTAGGCCGTGTGTTACCCGAGAGTTCACCACCACACAAAAATGTTTATACAGGTACTCTTTTTTTTTTCAACTTTTTCACCTCAATTCTCGTGCTACGTTGTTAAATTTGACATCAAATTGTTCGTAATAGGAATATTTGCATATAAGAACAAATATTAGAACAATGTTACTAATATCATAAGATAAAGTACATTGTCTTGTAAAAAAAAACTCCTGCTTTATTTACAGTCATTATTCATTCCATGTGGATGCCACATGGGGTCTAAAAAGATTGGGAAGATGTTGGTGCACATTTTAAAACAAGTCCAATAAATTTGGACAATAAATGGAATTTTTAAATTTTTAAATTATTGACTCTTTATGCCTTCTGCTCACTCTGTAGTTTCATTTTTTGACGGATATACAGTGGTACCTCGGAACACGAGTGTCCCTGTATGCGAGTTTTTCGGAATACGAGCAGGATTTTCTCGGAAAATGCGTCTCGGAAGGCGAGGGTTACCTCGGAACACGAGTTTGTTGATACGTGTACAGGCCGACTAGCGCATGGTGGCACGGCGATCGCACCTCAGTTTACCTGTGTCTCACACCCAGTGACTATCCCACCTGAATTCTTCACAAGGATTTACAGTTTATTGTCGTTTTTTTTGGCCATTTGAGCATAAAAGTTGTCATTATATATCTCGCCATGGGTCTCAAGAAAGCCATTGGTAAGGTTCAACCTAAGAAAATAGCTGTGAGTAGAGGCAGTAGAGGATGTCCCTTCTTGATTAAGAAAATGTGTGAAGTATGGGAAGAACTGCAAAGTTTTGTTGAAAAAACTCACCCAGATAAAGCTGTAGAAGGCCGTTGCATTGACCTTTTAAATGACAATGTTATCTTGAGGTTATCTTGAGATGATTTCGGGGCTTTTTTTTTAGTGTCCCCGCGGCCCGGTCCTCGACCAGGCCTCCACCCCCAGGAAGCAGCCCGTGACAGCTGACTAACACCCAGGTACCTATTTTACTGCTAGGTAACAGGGGCATAGGGTGAAAGAAACTCTGCCCATTGTTTCTCGCCGGCGCCTGGGATCGAACCCAGGACCTCAGGATCACAAGTCCAGTGTGCTGTCCACTCGGCCGACCGGCTCCCCTAAAATGTGATGTCTTAATACAGACAAGTGTTAAAATGTAGGGAAAAACAAGTGTCTTTAGACAGATTCTTAGTAAAACAAGCAAGTCCTAGTGGTATGCAGGCAAAATGTGCCAGTGTGTGCATACCAGTGAAGTCCTCACTGCCTGATGTTATAATGGAAGGAGACACCCCTTCCAAACAGTAACACCTCTCCTCCTTCCTCCTCCTCACATCTTTCATACACCAACAGCAGTCCTCAGCAGGGGTAAGTAATAACTTGAACATAGTTTTGTAGGTTTATTTAGATGAATTAGGTATAAAAATTTAGTTTGATGTGGGGTTTTTGGGGTAGTCAGGAACGGATTAATTCATTTCCCATTATTTCTTATGGGGAAATTAGCTTCGGAATACGGGTTTTCGGAATACGAGCCATCTCCAGGAAGGAATTAAACTCTTAAACTGAGGTACCCCTGTACTGTATAAACCCGCTAATCCGGATTATATGGGAAGGACCTCCAGCCGGATTATCACGTTTTCCATAGTAACATATTTTTTCACTGCAAAAGTCCAAAAGTGACCATTTCCAACTATTTTTATACCACAAACAACATAATTTGAATTGCCACATATAATTATAAAATATTAAACTAGAAACCCTCAACTTACATTGTTGTAGTTCGTCTTTTTGATTGATGCCACACATCTTGAAGTTAAGAATTCTTGACAATTTACGTAACCTGTTCAAACACAACACTAAAATTAACACTTAAAATTACTGTACAGTTCATGAGGCAAGGTCAGTTTTGACTGCCTGCTGCTGAAGCCTCACTGATTGAAGGCTTTTTGTTTGCCTGAGATGCCTCACTGGTTGAAGAAGCTTGGCTTGCCTGTGACGCCTCACTGGTTGAAAACGCTTGGCTTGCCTGTGACGCCTCACTGGTTGAAGATGCTTGGCTTGCCTGTGACGCCTCACTGGTTGAAGACGCTTGGCTTGCCTGTGACACCTCACTGGTTGAAGATGCTTGGCTTGCCTGTGACGCCTCACTGGTTGAAGACGCGTGGCTTGCCTGTGACACCTCACTGGTTGAAGATGCTTGGCTTGCCTGTGACGCCTCACTGGTTGAAGACGCGTGGCTTGCCTATGACGCCTCACTGGTTGAAGACGCTTGGCTTGCCTGTGACGCCTCACTGGTTGAAAGCGCTTGGCTTGCCTGTGACGCCTCACTGGTTGAAGGCGCTTGGCTTACTTGGCCTGTGATGCCTCACTGGTTGAAGGCGCTTGGCTTACCTGGCCTGTGATGCCTCACTGGTTAAAAGCGCTTGGCTTGCCTGGCCTGTAATGCCTCACTGGTTGAAGGCACTTGGCTACCCTGGCCTGTGATGCCTCACTGATTGAAGGTGCTTGGCTTGCCTGGCCCGTGACGACTCACTGATTGAAGGTGCTTGGCTTGCCTGGCCTGTGATGCCTCACTGGTTAAAAGCGCTTAGCTTGCCTGGCCTGTGGCACCTCACTGGTTGAAGGCGCTTGGCTTGCCTGTGATGCCTCACTGGTTGAAGGCGCTTGGCTTGCCTGTGACCCCTCACTGGTTGAAGGCGCTTGGCTTGCCTGTGAGGCTTAACTGGTTGAAGGGCCTTTGGTTGCTTTTCTTACAAATAAAGAATCAAGTTTAGCTTGCCTTCTGTGTTCATTGGCCTCTTATGATCAGCTCTTTGGTTTGCCTCAGGTACTGATACGTGTTTCCAACTTCTGGATTAGCACAGTTGGATGAAAAATTAATTAATCCGTCAACATAAGACATAAGTACACAGTTGGATGAAAAATTAATTAATCCGTCAACATAAAACAAAAGTACACTGTATTTCATGGTTTGTGGTGTTGGTTCCTCACTGCCTTCTTCGTCCTCCACCTCTTCTTCGACCTCACCAGTAATAAGGACTGGAGAATTTCTTCACTCGTTACACCATATGCAGGGTCATTAGCATCTCTTTCAAGCCAATTAACCACATCCTGTCATCCTAAATTTTTGCCAACATTTCTGAACATTTCATGGATTTCATCTGTAAATCCTTCAAAATTCCTTTCTTCATCCTCATTGCTGACTGTAGACATGAGTTTTTTTTTCCAGGAATTCTTCAAAGTCAGTTCCTTTACTTCACTCCACACCTTGGCCCAGTTATAGATGGCTTCCTTGATGGAATAGTTCTTCAAATTCTCAAGGGTTCTTTTAACCCTGTTATCCACGCTGAGTTCCATATCTTCCTCAATAGGCAAAACCACCAAGACTTTGTTGAGCATCATTTTTTTGTACAACCTCTTCGTGGCGCAGATAACTCCCTGATCCATAGGCTGGATGAGAGAGGTTGTATTAGGAGAAAGTGCCATACACGTTATCTTGCCATCATGTGAGGTTAACGTGTCAATTTTGGGGTGGGCAGGCGCATTATCACGCAACAGCACAGCCTGAACTTTGCTTGGCCTCACTTTGAGTTTCTTAACTTGGTCACGAACTTCCTTGCAGAAGACGTCAAGAAAGTAAGAAAGATCTCCTGTGTAAACCATGTAATCTTTGAGTTATAATATTTCACGGGCAATCTGTCCAAGCAATGTTGCAAGGCTCTTGGTTTCTTTGATTTGCCAACAATTGCACATGTGATTCTGTCGATGCCGTCGTCATTCGCACACATCATGGCCGACAGCGTGCCCTTGTTAATCTTACGGCCTGCCACAGAACCCTCACTCCTCATAGCTAGAGTTTTTTCCGGTAAACTCCTCGAATACAGCCCAATTTCATTAGCATTATAAATTTGATTAGAATATAAATTATTTGACAAAATGTATGTTCTTAACACTTTCGTGCGCCCAGCACTCGTGAAAAAAAAAAAAAAAAGCGCCTTGTGCGTGCGACGTTTTGGGCTCTTGAGCATAAACACCAAAAAGTGTATAATCTTTTCACTCTCCTGACATCAATTCTCGAGCCCTGGTTTCTATGCCCTCCTCCGTGGACTGTTGTCTCCTGTCTGGCTTCTGTTGGGGCCCGGTGCCTGGATGGTGGCCCTGGACCTCCAAGTCCCTTCTTGGCACGTTCCTCTCCAGTTTTCTAGGAATGGCTCAGTTGGTGGTGGGGCTTCAGGCTTGCTGCTTTTGTTGCCTTCCCTGTTTTGTAATGGGCGCTTGGTATTTTTTGCATCTTTACCGGATCTTAGTGCCCTGTCTGAGTCTGAGATTCGGTATCTGGCCTACCTCGACGACTGGCTGGTGTGGGCTCCCAGTCAGTCTGCTTGTCTGCTCGCCAGGGGTGTGGATCTTTCCAGATCGCCGGGTTTGGTTTCCTGGTGATCTGGAGGCCATTCCATCTGTTTCCATCCCGGATTCGGACCTGGGCCTTGTTTAGGGCTATTGGGCCACTCATTGTCTTTCCCTCCAGAAGTGTTACTGCGGCTGTGGTCCCACCTTCGGCTGTACATGAGGGGGTCCCGGGTTGCTCAGCGGTTGCTTGAGCAGTTGTGCAGGAGTCTGAACTTCGACGTGCTGGTCTGCCTGCCGAGTCGGGTTTGGCTTTGGCGTCTGTTTGGTTCCTTCGGAGACTCCCCTTCTGCCTCTTGCATTTGTTGGGTTCGTTCCTCCGGGGATCTTGTGTTGGTGCTGCGTCACCAGTTTCCTCTTTGGGGTTTTCGGGGTTCCGTGCCTTGGTACCTCCCCGAGCCTTTGCTCGATGTGTTCACGGACGGGTCATCTCTCGGCTGCGGCTCTGTGACCAGTGCTCGCCAGGTCGGCCGAGGTTGGTGGAGTCTGTCTGTCCATCGGGCTCACAGCACGGTTCGGGAGTTCGTGGCTGTTTGGTTTGCGCTTCGGAGGGTTTGGGTCCCTGGGTGCTCTACCATTCAGCTCTGTTCGGACTGTTCTCTGGCGGTTCTTGCCGGAACCACAGGGGTTTGGGTAACCGTGAGGTTCATGTCCGGGGTGTGTCCTGCGTCCTGGCGGACAGCTGTCCCGGTTCATTCCTCTCTTCGCGGATTGGCCAGTCGTCGCCGACTCGTTTTGTTGGCTCTGTCGGACATATGGACTCCTGGCCGTAGACGTCTTCGAGTCGGCTTGGTCTAGGCATCACCTATTTTATGTGGTGCCCTTTCCCGCCTGCAAGGCATTCACGGTGGATGCTTTTCGGAAGGACTGGTCGAGGTGGGGGTACCTGATCCTCTTCTCCCGGTCCAGCTGTTCCTTCGGGTTCTGGCTCGGTTGCAGCCCATCCTACGAGAGCAGTCCTTATGGTTCCTTGGTGGCCGGCCCAGCCTTATTTCAGACGCTGCTTGATAGGTGTTCGAACCCGGGGCGTTTTCCCACGGCTCCGCCTCTTTCGGTAGGTTGAATCGGTCCTGTACATGACTTGTTCGACCTT